GGCGAGGGGGAGCATAAACATGGGAATATGAACCACTATCACTGACTACCTGGCGTTGAGCTTAAACCTTCAGCTGATGAAGCACCTGCATTTCCGTTAAAAATATAGTTTTTATAACGTCAAACTTCGTTTGGCCAAGGCGATATGCTCACACTTAAAGCTTTTTAGATGGGTTATTTTCGCCTTGCTATCTCCGGAAATATATTTACAGAGATGTGTATTTGATGGATAAACTTATACAGAAACGTATTCATAATATTATTTCAAGGTTCAGGTCAGAAAGGAGTAAGCGCTATAATCTATTTAGAGGTCGTACCAAGCGTAAAATGAAGAGGGAGGTTGATCTAATACGTGTGAAAAAAGTAGGAAAACAACACATCTAGGCTTTCGTCTTGTTGTTGTGGGCGGATCTTTAACGGGCGACTCATTAATTTTTGCGAGGGGGTTACCTCCCTTGACTTCCGTTTCCGTGCGCAGGCGGTGAGTGAGAAGTCTGAGTTTATCATTGGGTTTTGTCATCATCAACACCAAAGTGACAGCTGGCGAATTTTCTCGTCTCTGGGCAGCGTTTCCTTCTCGACCAGTGACGAGAAAACTCGCCACAACGAGAATGCTTTTCCCACAGATCTGACCTCCTTTCTGTTTTTTAAAAGTTTTAGTTAGAGTTTTTTTTACGGCACTTGCAACGCAATAAAGTTATGTTATAACTGCCGTCTCCTTTCTGTGTTTCAGCCACAATCTCCAAACATTCGCTAAATAGATTCTAGAAGTTTTCTCGTTCTATGTTTAGCTTAGTGTAAGATTCCGCCATACGCAATTTTGAAAAGTGACGTATACGGAGTCTTTAAAAAATTTTTGGGTAAGTGTTTTTTGGCACTCACAACTGCCTAAGGTCATATGAGCGCGCGGGACACATTAAACGTTTTCGGTTGGCAGAAAATTTTGAATTTTGCCCGGGTGTCGGCCGAAGCCTACTCTTATCGATTTTAAACCATCATGGAATCTTTAACGTGCGCAACTTGCACACAGGCCCTCCGAGATTTTTAGCCCTTTTCCGAGAAGGCAAGGTGTAGATCTTTCCTACAAGAAGATCAGGGGTGTGGCTGAAAGACAGCTGTAAGAAGCAGCCACGGAGTAGCAGTAGAAGCTGCAGAAAGAGTCAGGAGCCCA